AAATATTCTATTTGAATTGCACAGTATTTGGAATCAGGGCTTTAATCTATTGGTATTAATAAGGATCATCTATTCACAAGGAATAGGGGCCTGTAGAAGTGAGTTGGTGTAGTTTGTCACTTTCCTTCAGAAGTCATATTTAGCATTTATAAAAAGTTTCATATTTTAAGTTTTTGATGCTTTTAGGTCTATACCCAGATTTTCCTAAATATTCTACTGGACTTTAGCATTCATGTAAAAAGGATATGCTTACAGATTTTGCATAACTCAACTATCAATTTAGCACTTATTCTCACCAAAAAGAGGCCAATATTTCTGTTTACCAAAATGGTAGTGTCACTGCCACATAGCTGTAATATAAACATAGGCCAGCTTTGAAATTATGTAATTATTGAATAATTAATTGTGGGAGAAAAGTTGTATTATTTCTACGTTTTTTAATCACAAAATTTTTTATTAGAAATAATTAAAAATCACTGTTACTATAATTTATATAGGAATAAAAACAAGTAAATAGAAATTATAAAGGTATATTCAACTCCACAAATTGTCCATAAATATGCAGATAACACAAAAAGGATTTGGGATCAAATAAGTGACAAAATTTGTGTCATTGCACATTCAGAATATGAATAAGGATTTGAAAAATATGAAAGATGGTGGGTGGATAAACAGAGGAAAGAAAGAATAGGTGAGTAGGAAAGAAAGCAAGTGATACAAAAATAAACCCTTTCAAGATGTTAGGTTGAAAATATTTTTTATCACAAATTATCATTTATTGTTATAGGTCCAATCTGATACTGCACAGAACTATACCATTTTTTACTCCATAAGTGGACCAGGAGTGGACAAAGAGCCCTTCAATTTGTTTTTCATAAATAGAGACACTGGAGATATCTTTTGTACACGAAGCATAGATCGTGAGCAATATGACCAGTTTCCGGTAAGATTATTGGATTACTTTTTTAGAATTACATTTTTTATTACTGGTTTAATATTTTAAGCTTTGATTGTTCATATATTATTGGAATCAATTATTTGATTTAATATTTTAAATATTGTTAATGTATAATGTAAATTTCAAAATTTATCGATGCCACTGATGAAGAAAAACAATGGATATCATAAAAGAAGAAAAGTGGGGGAGAACAATAGAAAATACAATGACAGACTTTTAAAAGACAGGTTCTGACCTGTAGAATCTGGGACAACAGTGAATTTTATTGAGTTCAAAGTTCCCCATAATAATGTGGTTTAATTATTCTCAACCTTGCCTGTACATTATAAATGATATGAGAACTTTTTAAAAAATACTGATGTTCCGGCCTATCCCCAGAAATTCTGGTTTAAATATTCTGAGATGGGGCCCAGTTGATTGAAAATTTGAAGTAACCCAAGGTGATCATAAATGTATCCTAAGGTTGAGATCTGCTGCTTTAGCCTCTTGCATAGCATAGTCTTTTTCTTTCTTTCCCTCTGACTGTCCAGCAACAAAAATCTTGAGTATCATTTTCTTTCCTTAGTAATACAAGATAAGTTTACCAATTCATCTTATTCTATCTAATCTTATCCTACCCCAAATTCTAACTCTTCTGAAAATTGAATCATTTTTTTTTTCTGTTTCATCTTCACATGTCTCCTTAGTATTCTGATATAAAGAGAAATTCACAGTGAATTTTGAGATGATGAAGAATGAAAGCGTTTAAGCTGTTGGTATCTTGAATAATAAGATTGTAGTAAAGAAATTTTTTGCTAAAGAAGCATATAAAAGGGAAATTTATCTCATACTTTGGCAGTTCAGAAAGTTAAATCTTAGCAGACATTCGAAAGAAGAGTAGGAATTGGTGACCACATAAAGCCAGTCATGAAGAAAGCTAAGAGATGGAGGCAGCGGGGAGGAGGTAGTCAAGTGTTATAGACAGAGACGTCAGCAATAGAAAGACCCATTTATTAAAAAGGTAGCAACAAAAACAGCAACAAACCCTGGATGAAGTGTTGTTTGAAGCTAAGCAGGAGTGTGAAACAAGAGGCTAGAGTGGTAAGAAAAGAATATACTAAGAAGGACCTTATAATTCATGCTAAGGACCCTATCCTTTAGGTATGTCAGAGCAAACATTTTGATCTTTCTGTCAAGAAGCCAAATAAATAATTGATAAATGCACACACACAAATAAATGTATGTATGTGTGTGTGTATATATATATGTATGTATATATATACATACGCACACATCTATCTATCTATATACATATACATACACACATATGTATGTAAATATGAGTTCTCTGCTGCTTTTACAACTTCTTCACAAGAAGAAATGATCTAAAACTAGCAGTTACTCTTGTCGAGAAATAAAAAGCTGTCTACTCTGTACTATGTCGTGAGGTACACTTCATTTCTTCTTGTTAGGATAACATCCTGCTTATGGATTTTGAAGTCTTCAGCTGCTTCTCATCAGTCAAGCTGCTGTCTCTGCTAACTTTTTATCAAGATCATTGCTAGAGGGAACAGGGAGAGAATAGTTTAGAATTAAAATAAATTACTTTGCTATTTTTTGACATCTTTTAAAGGACAAAGGAATAACATAGTGTGGAATTTATGCTCAAAATTGGGCTTTTGAATAATATTCAGAATTACTCTTATTTCTCTAGTTTCCATTAACATAGTTAAGATTGAGTTGACGTTAAGAAACACCACTTGCAAATCAGCAATGTTCTTAAAGGGAAGTATAACAACCAGATGTATACATGAAGCAAGCTGTAAAATCACTTGAGGTAATATGGAATAGAAGCCTTCTCTGTCAATGTAGAAGTTAAAATTAAAATAATATGTCTTCGTTTTTCTATCAAATCAATTTCACTTACTGTTTTATACTGAAAAGCTTATTTTTCTGGAAATTAGTAGATCTTCAATACCTGCTACTTTTCTTTTTGGTCTTGGTCCAGTCACACCCTCAAGAATCTATTTTCTTCTCTGTTTTATGGGCTACTAATAGTTGTCTTACCTACCTCAGAGCTATTGTGATCATTAAATGTTTGCAAAATCACTATGTAAACTATAAAGCTCTTTAAAATATCCTAACGGTAAATCAAATAAAGCACATGGTCCAGAATTTTGTTCTCAAAGCTGAGGATTTTGATTGGATTTCTCAATTCTTTGCTTTTATCTAACCTATATAAAATGTTAAGCATTAATAAATTGTTATTTGATTTCATTGATTATTGGGAAAAGTACCCATGGTTCAAAGTCAGTATATATCATTACTGTGCTTCTGTTTTCTCTCTTGCTCCATGTTGCATTGTTTAATTTTTGCTTGTAAAGATTTTTCTGGGTAAATCACACCATTTTTGCAGTTGGAGGAATTCATCTTAAACCACGCAACTCATTTAATCTTTAGAGATTTATATAAGGCCATTGTTTTCCGAATTTTTTAAAGAAGAAATGTATAAAAAGAATTTTCTTCAATAATTCCAACTTATTCTATGAAAGAAAGCAGCTATAAACACTTTCTCTCTCTCTCTTTTTTTTTTTTTTTGGTTTAAATATTAAAGTATAGTTGGCATACAATATTATATTAGTTTTAGTTGTAACCCCTCCTCTTTGAGTTTGTGGAGAATCCATATCTTTTATAAGTTCATAGGAAAAAATCGGTTCAATCTGGTCCCTTCTTACCTATCCAATGAGAACCTCACTATCTTATAACCTATGTCTCCTTTTCCAGACACACAAGTCTATCTATTGTCTTTATATGTGTTGCTAATCATATTGTATACCTAGTCATCTTTGGTGTCACTGCCCTCCCCCTTTCTCTGCCCAGATACTGGATGCCCCTCTCTACAAGGCCAAATTCAAGTTCCAACTCCTATTGTCAACTTTTTGCATATTCCCAAAAATGAGAGAAATTTCAGAAATAAGAGCAAATTATAGTGTGAAAGGGCTGAAAGAGATGAGGTTCTTCAAGCTACAGAAGAATTCAAGGGGAAATCACAATAATACATAAATGAAATTTAAATAATACTCTTTTAATTTAGTTAAAATATGAGTAATTCTAAAGTATATTATTTATACTTATAACAGTTTTAAGTATTTTTATTGCTTTTAATATAAAATAATAACTAGACTGTTAAACCATTACTTTTAAGTTTTTTAAAACTGTTGCTTTAATAACTAAAAAATTTTATAATTAGTTTCTCTGTTATATGAACATAAGTGGATTCTCCTAGGGAGCTAGGCTATGCTTTAAAGTTTAGTTACAGTTCCAGTTTAAATTATCCTCTTTACAACAAACATTTCAATTTTGATTTATTTTGGAGATATTTGGCTGATTTATAGCAAAAGATAAAAACAGTACCTGAAATAGTACTGGAAATAAAACTACCACATCTGTATCAGTGGAATGTGAAATAATATTTACTTGTTAAAGATCAGGAAATATTATTTCAAACTACAAGTGATTATATGATGGGAAGCAGATGTTAATTTCCACTGAAGAGAAAAACTAGAAAAACATAGTATAAATTATAGCAGAATGAGCTTAAGTTAAATATGAAAATATTTTAATGCCAATGTGATGAGGTAGGAAAATTCATTGAAAGTGATTCCACAGAATGTTTATGATATTTTTTATAGAGGGTAAACTTAAGGAGTCGTTTGTCTTCCTAAAAGAAAAAGAAGGATAGAACTGAATGCAAAAGATTAATAAAAGGCTCTGTGTTAAGTACTTAAGACCCATAAATATCTACAAGACTCAGGCTTCATCTTTGAGGATAATTGTAATCCGACAGAGACATAAAACAGTTTCATAATTTCCTCCAGCCAAAACTCAACTAGCAGCAGTTTAAAGGAAGAAAAATTCACATCAGATATGAGGGGAGAGGAAGGGATTGTTAGGAAGTTTGAATCATGTGACATCTGGATGTGATAGTAGTGATGGCAGTGGTGATGGTGGTGGTGATAAAGTGGTGATAATACACTCCTGTATTATGTTCCTGAGTTCAGAACTTATTGAGGAATAAGATATAGAGAGCAGACTGAGGGAAATCAAAGTATAAGTTCTATTACTCAAAAAAACCCCCCTGGAGGTCGTTTGGTGAAAGTGAATAAGGGAGCAGAGAGAACATGGTTAGTTATTTCAAAACTTCTCATCCTAGAGATTGGAATGGAAATCACTTCCCCTCCATGTTAGCATGTGAAGATAAAATGTTGCCTTTTAACATAATAGCGAGGGTTTTGTGGTTACTTTGGTCGATGATACATCACTGAAGAGTGTGATTAAGTGACACCATAATTAAAGTTGCACTTTATAGACACGAATCTGATTCCTGAGTTCTACGTAGATTGAAGATGGTCAGTTAGGGCAATTGCAGGAAAGTTGGTAGGACACAACAGGAAAGTTAGTGGGATACACTTGGAGTCACAGGAGGATGATAGCGTTGGGAATAGGAAAGAGAAGAATAATGATAGAAACATAGAAATGACATAATTGCTAGAATTTGGCAACTGACTAAAAAGGCTAATGAAAGAGAGGGAGGAATTAGATGTCTGGAATTTTAATTCTAGTTCGTTTTAGAAGATAGTTACAGTAGGGAATTCAGGAAGAGCTAGCTGGTTGTGAAAAACTGAGTTCATACAGAGTTTACTTTGGGTAAGTTTAGTTGAAAAGAATCTGTTCATCTCAACAACCATTCATTGAACACTTACTATGCATAAACCACATAAGAAGAGTATAGAACTAATTTGATAATGTTTAAAGGGAAAGGGCATTAAATCCTGGCATTTGGGGTCAAGTATATCATTTTGAGATGAAATTTGGAATGTGTATGTGATTTTATTAGCATTTTTATTACATAAGAAATGCATGTTTCTGATAGAAAAATGAGAAAATGCAGGTAAATAGAGAAAAAAAAAACAAAAACCAGAGTTGAATCGTTACATATCAAGTGCAAATAAATAGAATTATATTTTTTATAAACTTAAAAAAATACTTATCATTAGCATAACTGGAGTACGTCTACATTCATTCTCACAAGGAGAACAGTGTGCAGTTAACTCAAGGAATGGAGCAGCCTCATTCGGCTGGAGTGCATAGCAGTTGGGAGAATAATGAGAACACTCAAAGAGAATTGAAGCCATAGGGCAGACATAGACGGTGCTGGTGTGTTGTCTCTGTTACATAAGTTCTTAGTGACATATGATGTTGTGAATGATTTTTTTTAAACATTATATCTTTCCCCAACTTCTAGGTTTAATTTTGTGCATTATTTGTTATTTAAGAATAAGCTGTCGGTGTTTGTCTACCTTTCAGCTATATGCCTATGCAACAACCGCAGATGGTTATGCACCAGAGTACCCACTCCCCTTATTATTCAAAGTTGAAGATGATAATGATAATGCCCCATATTTTGAAAACAAAGTGACTATCTTTACTGTGCCTGAAAATTGCCGATCCGGTAAGTTCACATTTTAGGAAAACACTACATTTTTGCTTTAATTAAATTTCTCATTAATGTTTTAAATGCAATCATATTAAATATGTTTAAATGCTTGACTTTCAAGAACATTCTACATAAAACTTTGTAGTCTTAAAAGATTATATACTCTACAAAGGCAAACTTTTTTGTGTTCATTGTTCTATGCACATATAAAGGCAGATAAATGATACATAAATTTTCTAACGTTGTTAGATTATTCCACAATGAATATGAATGTGTGACAGACAGATGCTGTTTATGTTTTCTAACTTGACTATGTACATATGTGTCACAGATGTATTTATAGAGCAATGAATAATTGGAATCTTTATAAAGTCACAATACATTTTCAAGGACCCAGAAATGTATCACTGCATGGAAATGCTGATTTATAACAACATTGCTTTACCTGGCATATTTTCCAAGCATAAAATAATTTAAACTAGTTTGATGCTATGGGCAGCCAAGATTGTGATCTTGGCATAGTCAGGGGCATCACAAGACTAGTTTATTTAAAAAGAGCTTCAAGAAATGTTGTTAGTTCTTATGTTTCCTCAATTCTATTGCCATTATTATATGTGTTTAATATTGCTCTCCTACAATAAGTGGTTTGCTGAAGAAACATTTCCAATACAGTGATTTCTGGCCAGTGATACTCAGATTGGTGCATAATATTTGTGTCTAATGTATATTAATAATTACTTGCATATATTAATAATTCAGCATATTTGTTCAAATATAAAAGCATAAAATTTTTGTTATCATATGAAAAGATGTGCTATGGCATCAAATTAGGCCATAAAGGAAACAAGATATACAGAGAAGATCCCATCCAAAAATGGCCCATGATCTGGGGTAGTGGATTGGGGGGAAGAATTTGAGAACCACTGCTACCAAGGGTGAATGTTCCATATATGGAGAATACAAATCATGTTATTCACAGTACCTACTTAATTTAATTCTAAGTTAGGAGAGCTTAGAGTTTTGAAGAGCATTCAGATACTCCTCTATTTATCTGTAAAATTACTCTACTTGTGGTTTTGGGGAGAATATACTACAGCCATGCCTTGATTTAATTTTTGTTTTTAATTCAATTAATTACATTGCTATTTTAGATGTTGACAATATCACATTTATTTAAACAGGCACTTCAGTGGGAAAAGTGTCTGCCATAGACCTTGATGAACCAGACACACTACATACTCGTCTGAAATATAAAATCTTACAGCAAATCCCAGATCATCCAAAGCATTTCTCCATCCATCCAGACACAGGTGTCATCACCACAACTTCATCTTTACTGGATAGAGAAGTAATGAATTGATTAATTAATTTTCAAGTTATTAAAGTGTATTTAAACTGATAATGAACTCCCAGAGAAGTTATAGTAAGGCCTTTTGTGGCTGCCTCTTTAAGCATACTTCTATAAAGGCTGTGGTTAGGACTTTTCTGGACACTTTGTCCACACAGAAATTTTGGGGAAGGTACAAGGTATTATGTGACGTCTCACTTGAGATCATTGATTTGATTTAATATATAGATGCTAAAATAGAAAAAAATAGCTTTAAGTTTTGAAATCTTATATTAGACACATCAGCTTTCCATTGTCCTGACTGACCAATCTCTTGTTCTATTTTTTAATTTATGCTGGCATTTCTTTTTGTTTTGAAAAAAAAATGTTCATCAAATTCCTTTCTCTTTTGTTTCCCCAGAAATGTGATACCTACCAGTTAATAATGGAAGTACGAGACATGGGGGGCCAACATTTTGGTTTATTTAATACAGGAACAATTACTATTTCTCTCGAAGATGAAAATGACAATGCACCATATTTTACAGAAACTTCTGTGAGTGTATCTTTGTATTTATTTATCTGAATTTATTTACTTTTTCAAAAACAAATATGTAATTTGATAGCTCTATGAGATTACACATTTTAGTTTTAACAGCTACCACTTACAAATAACATAGGCAGAAAAATACTGTTTCTGTCAAAATAATTGGAGTGTCAGTTATTTCTGGATGCTAGGAAAATAACTACTCTCTTGGCCATCTAAAAACATCTTATCCCTTGGAGCTGCTCATGTATTCGTGTTTTCTCAGATGGCAAGCTTTAAATCAGATTCTTTGGATTTTAATTCCTTTTATAGGATAAAGGAAAAAAGACCCTCTCTCTGGCGTCGTTTACACTTCAGCATCTTAAAATGAAAAAAGACTAGTTTTATATTCTTTGCTCTGCTGGGAAGTCAGTAGTACAGGTTGGCCCACCACTATTTATGTGCAGGCTCTTCCTGTATCATGTATGAATAAACTTTCCCTTAAGAAGTACACAATACAAGAAATATATGTAGGCTAAAAATTCTAGGAAATGGTTCTTCTTTCTTGACCTTTTAATAAGTAATCTTCATTTTTTTTCATTAACCTATACTAGACTACAAGTCAAAGAAGGGAAAACCTGTAGCAATAGACCCATTCATACAAATTTTTTTTACATTAATCACTACAACTTGTAAGGATATATTTTATTCCATATTTCATATGAGAAAATGAAAGTTCAGGTAAGTAACTTGGTCATGATCTCATACATATAAACCACATAAAAAGAAAAACTGGGATTAGAATCAAGCTCTGTTTTGCTCCAATGACTATCAGGCTATTATTCTTCTATGAATTCATCTTACATTTCTAGAAGATTCTGATTTACTACAGTTTTAGTCTTTTAATATCATATGCTTCCATAACCTTATTTATTATTTGGAGGTGGAGGAACTATAATTTAATACTATACTAAAAAGAAGAAATAACTTTATTCTTAAAAATGTTTGCCAGTGAATCAAAAGTAAATTTTTTAAAAAATTGGCTTAATAACAAGTTATCCAGTAATAGTAAGAAATCAATAGGTTATAATTATTTAAAATATTGAAAGCCTAATAAATTAATATAAAGCATTAGTTGCTTGCTATGTCTTAAAAAAGGGTGGTAGACTGTAAATACTACAGATTCAGAATAGAGACAAATCTGCAGTCTTGAATGAATACAAGTAACCACAGAGAAGTTGGAAAGTTAAGACATAAGTTAATCTTTGAAGAATGGATAAGATTTGAAAAAGTAGTTTGACAAGGCAATAAACTATGCATTACATTTGTAAATTTTTCCCAGTATATGATTACATATTTCTATATCACCTTTCTTTGACTTTAAATATAAGATTTAGAGGAGAAAATTATGTTGTTAAAGCTACAAATTTATAATGACAAGAGGCAATTTTTTTAGTATTCTACAGAAGTAGAAGAAAACAGAATTGATGTTGAGATTTTACGAATGGCAATACATGACCAGGATCTGCCAAACACTCCGCACTCAAAGGCTGTCTACATGATCCTACAGGGGAATGAAAACGGAAACTTCAAAATTAGCACAGACCCAAATACAAACGAAGCGGTCTTGTGTGTTGTAAAGGTAAACAACAAAAATATCAAGCAATACTTCAAAAAGTTCTAACTTAAATTAATTGACATATAAGCATTTATATATACATGTTTATGTGTGAGTGTATATACATATATATGTATATACACATACATATATATAAATTCCTGTATGTATACGACTAGAGAATTATAATGTAATGCTGAAATGATTATGTTGGTTTACATAAATGTATTCTTTATTAATTGTTATTATTATTTTACCCTCATTTTCTCTCTTAGAGAAAAGGCATGTCAGGTACAAAATTCATTGTTTTATAGAGGAGACAAGCCAAGGCAGGAACTATCGAATTAGTCATCAAATATTAGCCTTAGAAGAGTTCTTTAACACCCACTTGTCCAAATACCTTATTTTATAGAACACAAGGCAAAGAGAAATGGAAAGATTTGAAATTAAACCTCTTGATTTTTCCCTTCATGTATATATTCTACTTTTATCTCTCTATAGTGTATTTTATAAGACAATTTCCTAAATATACAGTGGCTATTCTCACTAATCCCCTTATATTTGAGGTAGCCAGTGCTTTTAGGATTTCTAAAAACCAATTGCAATTACTGGTACCTACAATGATTATTTTAACTAAAACCAGTTCTTTTCTAAGTCTTTCTGCTCAGAACCCTCAATAACCTGTTATGTATCTTCCCTTATTCATTTCTTAAAGACAATGTATTTTCTTAGAAGCTTTATGCACAAATTATGCTTTCCTCATAATATTTTTAGAAAATATCCTTTAATTATTAAAATTTCTTCTTTCTTCTTCTCTCCTCCCCCTTCCCTCCCCACCCCCACCCCCTACTTCCTCCTCCTCTTCCTCCCCTCTCTTTTTTTCTGGCTTCTAGGTTTCTTTTTCTAGCTTTCTTTTTTATTATCTTGATAGAGTTCAGTCTTTAATTCTTTAACTATTGTTTCAGATTCTTTCTAATTATTCAGTTCAAGACTAAGCATTTTGATTAGGAATGAAGCAAACTCAGATATAATGTGCCTTGAAAGATGCTGCTAGACAATATCATTATATCTTTGACTCAAATACTCAAACTGTTTCATTTGTAGACAAATCTCATATGCTAGTAGTCTATCTAATTGTTTTATACACTTAGCTTAGAGGAATTTCTGCTGTTTTGGTTATCACTGTTATCCTATTTGATAAGTAATGAAATTATGAGCAATAGTAATCTATTTGAATTTAGTCAAACACTTATTCTGTATTTATATTAATATTTAAACTTGCAACAACAAAAAAAATGAAGGCAAGAGCTTCCCAAAGAAAAGTGAGAAGAAAACTTGGTTGAATCTTAAAAACAACAATTTTGCATTTGATAGTGTTAATTATTATAGGAACCTAATTATTTAGACTTTAACTGCATTAGCACCTGCTTTTGGTAATATTTTATACACAAAAATGATATTCCCTTTTGTGCTTAACCTTAGAATCTTAATTACTAGACCTATATATATACTGTCATTTATCGACTAATTATATTATGTTTATTTAACAGCCATTGAACTATGAAGCCCATCAACAAATTGTTTTGAAAATTGGTGTAGTTAACGAAGCACAATTTGCCAAAGCATCAAATTCACAAAGTCCTACTATGTGCACTACAACTGTCACTGTTAAAATTAAAGATCATGATGAAGGCCCTGAATGCCAACCACCAGTAAAAGTTATTCAGAGTAAAGATGGCCTCCCAGCTGGCAAAGAACTCCTTGGATACAAAGCATTGGATCCAGAAACACGCAGCGGTGAAGGTTTAAGGTAATGTATTTTTCAAAAAAATTCCTTATTTTTGATTGTGATGTAAATTGATTTCAAATTGAGGAAAGTTCTGTGCATTTTTCAAAATGACAGATTTTTAGATTACGTCCACTGTTTGGTTTGAACATTTATATTTGATTTCTAAAAATTAGGTATAAGAAGATAAGAGACGAAGATAACTGGTTTGAAATTAATGAACACACTGGTGACTTGAAAACTGTAAAAGTGCTAGATAGAGAATCAAAATTTGTAAAAGACAACCAATACAATGTCTCTGTGGTTGCAACCGATGCAGGTGAGTGCAATTTCCTATGAGATAAATACAGTATATGTTTTTAAGGAAATCTTGGGGTGAAATTTATTTATTTCCAAATCAAAATTTCATGCAAAATGTTTGCATTATGATTGCTCAATTTTTTGGACATCACCCAATTATGATTGCTCAATTTTTTGGACATCACCCAATTTAGACCCCAGTGCATCAGCAGCTCAATGAGAGAAGGTGATGAATGGCCAAATTTCAAGTTTCAAAGTTCACATTATTTGATATTTGCCTTGGATGTAGTGGCATCCTGGAGATATTTTATTTTCTGGAGTAGAGATCTGGATTACTATGATTTGAAAGTGCTGTAAGGGTTCAACCCACTTAAAGCAATTGGGTTTGAAGTGGGTTTGTTCTGAGCCTCTCTTAATGGGGAACAAAATGTTTATCTTATTTCTTAAAGAAATAATCAAACAATGACTCTAAAACCTATCCTGTGAAGAAATGTTTAACAAATGTCGTAAACTAGTGCTCCCAGGGTCCTTGTGAACATACACTCCTAGCAGTAAAATATTTTGAGCATGTACCACTGTAGTGTAAGCCCTAACCATGGGCTTTTCTTTCTGTAATGCAGGTGACTGATTTAGGTTTGCTTGCTGAGGCATCTACTTCAAAGATGGCAGTCTCAAATAAATACATGGCCAGCCACACAACTAGAGAAAGAGCCAGGCTGCTTCCCCTACCTTTTGTTTACTCTCTTCTTATGCTTAAATTCTGGTTCTTATGTTTTAAATTCACCAATAAAGAGTGAACCTGAGAAACCCTAGACTCCCTCGCCCTCCACCCCTGGCCCACAAGAGAGCTTTCCTCCTCCCAGCTCCCACCCAACACTCAACCTGGTGACTTTGCTGTGTGGCCCCTGGTGTGCCATATAATTTCCAAGACTCTTAAGTAGTAAACTTTTCTTTTTTTCAAAGTTTCTTGAGAGTCTCTTGCAATCATAATGAGAACCACAAGGGCTAGTCTAGCCACAACATTGGTTATCGATAGCTGGCACACATACTTTTAATGCAGTTCTTTCAATGTAGGTAGAAAAAAAGAAAATACTAAAGAATGGGAAAAACATTAACAGAGAAGTATAGTTAATGCTGCCACTACTCTATAATCCTGAGTGATTTGCTGCTTCTATATAAGTAAAAGTGAAATATGAATGGTTCAAAACCTCTGTCAAGCAAGGATTTATATTTACTCATTTATTCTACAAATGTTGACTGTCTAGTAAGTTCCAAGGTACTAGGCAAGTTACCATGGAATCTAGAATTCATACATCAGGGTCAAAATCTCACATATATCAATTAAAGGATTATTATATTCTCATAAGAGGTTCTATATGGTATGAAACTTACCCCATAAAAGAATGTATGTCTATCATAAGAGGTAGAAATCAGTTAAGAGTTGCCCAGATTAAAGGATAAGAGGAGATTTCGCA